ATCTCGGGTTCAACATTATTTTATCAAGCCAAATTATTTAACTAATCGGTCAAACATCCAAATCTCTAAGTAAGAATCATAAGTTTAAGTTTAAGTTTTTCATAACCCTAATTTATTTTATTTTATTTTTTATGGTGCATATATCAATCTCTATTATCGTTTTATAAAGCATCCATTTTTTATTGCTTTTCTTTGTTAAATATCATCTATAAAGTCTTCAGTACTTAGTATAAATCAAAATAGTAATTAAAATAAGATTACAATATAAATATGATAAAAATAATAATAATATTATGATATAAGTCAATTTAATATGCAATCATGTTAAATGATTTTGTGATTCATTTATCAATAGATAATAATACAAAATATGTGATTGTGGAATGTAGAGTAACATTTATTAGTTCTGCGTTAAGTATATAAATTATGATTAACTTACATATATTTAATCACTACGATGTGCTAGAACTAAATACAATATTACATGTGATGAAATATAATAACACAAAATATACAAGTTTAACTTACATAAATTCTTTAAATTGTTGGCTTGCATTTTTAATTAAACTCTCTCTCTCTCTCTCTCTATCTCTCTCATGATTTAGATTACCTCCAACATAAATAAAAAGAAAAGTCTAATTCGTGCCTTACGATGTTAGGATTCTATTGTTGTAAATATCAATTTTATTTTGTAACAAAACATGTCTCGCACTTGTGAAAATTGGTTAGGTGTGGGGCATGGGCGAAAAAAATAATAATTAATAGCTTAGGTAAATATCATTGGTCCTCTATTGTTAATTCTGATCAATTATGTCGTAGGACTAATGACACACTTAGTTTAGTATTCTTTTTTGAGAATTTACTTAGTTTACTATGCATTTCAAGATAAGTCAATTGAATTTGTTCTCATCTATAATCCTACAGTTCATATTTTAAAGTAAAGCTTATCATTATTAGAAAATTAAATTTTATATACTACTATATATGCAAGTGGGGACAAATGATAATCAGAAAAGAAATCTCATCTTATATATTGCATAACATATTTTTTGCGATTAATCATTTTTAAAATATGAAAAAAAAATTAATATTTGTTGTCATCATTAGCGTAACAAATGGGGAGGAATTCAAACACATAAAGATCACGAACAAATCTAGTTTCAAAATTTAACAGTGTTCATGAGAATTGCACAATCTTATTTTCTAATTATTAAAATGCTTTATTGATTTCCAAATTCATATTTTTCCTTTTTTTTTTAAATTTATTCAAGAAAAAAAAAAGAAGATAACCAATGGTGTCCTGTGACCATTGAGAAAAATATTGCATATCTTTTTTGTCAAGGGAGTCAACGGTCATTAAATTTATAAATTTTTGAGAAAATGCATTAAAAAAAAAGTTGGTTTACCTGTAAGACAAAGAAATCTATCGAGCTAGTCGAGACCTATTATGACAACAATGCCATAATAGAGAATAGATGGGTCTAATCCTTAAAGAGATTTATAACCTCCATATAAAATTTAGATACAGTCCCAAAGACAATTTGAGATTCAAATACTTGTTTTTCAATTAGTAATACAATTCTCATATTTAAAGGAGTTACAAATCTTGTTATAAAATTAACTCTTCAAGAACAACCAATAAATGAGATAATTTTTAACTAAACCTCTTAGATGATTACCATCGATAAAAGTAATAATGAGACGACATCTTATGAGATGAAAACATAAGTAAACATAGAATAATTGAAGAACGCAATTGAAAATTTTCATACCTATTATCAAAATTTAAAAAAAAAAAATAACTACGAAGCACTTTCATACAGTCATGGTATATAATATGAATACGATGTTGGTAATAACATCAATAACCTCCCTAACTTAAAACTCATAGAAGGCATGTAGGAGTCGAAAGCTACCTATAAAGAGAAAAGCTTGGTAAATTAGTTAACCTAAAACTACGGTAGAAAAATGCATTATGCAAAAAAATTATTTTTTAATGTACTTATTTATTTTCTTATTTTTATTGTTATAAGCAAAAGTTCACCTATTTAATATTTAGTATATATTAATTAACTGTTGATATATAAAAGTAATTATGTGAATAAATAGAAAATAATATTTTTTTTTTGCTCTCTGAACGACTGTGGGAAAAAAAATATTTTTTCAGACCAATGTTCTTGAGGTCGTAAAGATGGCACAAAACGAAAGCACTAGAAGATTGATCATAGAAATTGACTCCCTCTTCGTTTACAAACTACTTAAGATGATAGCAAACATTGCTTTCTTATACATTATTTTAATATCGTTTTAACTCGGTTTACGAAATGTTAGCTGTATATATTTTATTCATTCTCAAATAAGATTTGGGTGGAACTGTACCAAAAATTTTCATTTTTTTTTTAATTTCATATTCTAGTTTTTTCATTTATTCTAATTTTATTTTTTCTCTTTATTTTAGACTAATTTTCTTATTACTCTATTTCTATTTTCAGTTCTTTCTTCATTCATTTAGTATCATCTTTTTTTTTTCTTTTCCTTTTTTTCTTGTCTCATTCTTCTTATTTTCTTATCAATTAAATAAAAAAAATTAGTAAATAAAAAAATTTACTGCAGCAGAAAATATTAACTACAAAGATTTATCTTAATACCAATTCATGATATTAAACTATAAATATTTAATTTTTAATGCTAATTCATTTGATTAAAATTTCAAAATAAAAATTAAAAAAAAAAAAAAAAAAAACAAATCACTGGTGTAGAGTGAAAGAGGAAGTTGGAAGGATTAGTCGAAAATTTGCTGGGCTAACAACTGACACGTGGCGAGTTCCTATTGGACGAGAGTTGGTAAAGTATGTAAGGAAAGAGGATAGCTTCTCCACGTTTGGGGTGATAAGATGATTTGTTCTTGTCACGGAAAAGGCCAATCCACTTTCCAACACATTTAGATTTTATCCGGTTTTGATTTGCCAAACACGTCCTTAGATGAATAAGCAAGAATCTTGTTGGACGAAAAATGTTAATTACTCGTTAAGTCATTCAATGAGATGTTGCGTCCTTCTCTAACTATCAACCCTAATTTGAAGATAAATCTTATACATAAATATAAAAGTTTTTTGAATTTGATTGAT